TGTAATCCCAGCACTTTGGGAGGCCAAGGCAGGTGGATCACCTGAGGTCAGGAGATGGAGCCCAGCCTGGTCAACAAGGTGAAACCCCGTCTCTACTAAAAATACAAAAATTAGCCAGGCTTGGTGGTGGGTGCCTGTAATCCCATCTACTTGGGAGGCTGAGGCAGGAGAATTGCTTGAACCCGGGAGGCGGAGGTTGCAGTGAGCTGAGATCGTGCCACTCTACTCCAACCTTGCGACAGAGTGAGACTCTGTCTCAAAAAAGTAAGTCTCAGAAAAGAAAAAAAAAGGGCTTCTCATGTCTGATAGCTTAAAAAATGGTCAGTACCTGTCACACTCCTAGAGAGACTTAGAAATGTAAGATGTGTTTTGAGGTGTCCCACTTTCTAAGTAACCTTAGATAGTGGGACCTCAGATAGTGAGATTTTGATAGTAGGGCCTGGATGAAGCATGCTAATTTTGGCTACAGAAGATATGCGTATTATTTATTTATTTATTTTGAGATAGAGTCGCACTCTGTTGCCCAGGCTGGAGTGCAGTGGTGCGATAACGGCTCACTGCAGCCTCAACCTCCCCGGCTGAATTGGTGCTCCCACCTCAGCCTTCCCTGTAGCTGGGACTACAGGCATGTGCCACCATGTCGGATAATTTTTGTGTTTTTGTACAGATGGGGTTTTGTTATGTTGCCCAGGCTGGTCTCAAATTCTTGGATTCAAGCGATCTGCCCACCTTGGCCTCCCAAAATGCTGGGATTACAGTTATGAGCCACTGTGCCTGGTCAATATGTGTACTTTTTTTTTTTGAGACAAACTTTCGCTCTCTCCCCCAGGCTGGAGTGCAGTGGCGGGATCTCCGCTCACTGCAAGCTCCGCCTCCCGCGTTCACGCCATTCTCCTGCCTCAGCCTCCTGAGTAGCTGGGGCTACAGTTGCCCGCCACCACGCCCGGCTAATTTTTGTATTTTTGGTAGAGACAGGGTTTCACCGTGTTAGCCAGGATGGTCTCGATCTCCTGACCTCGTGATCCACCCGCCTTGGCCTCTCAAAGTGTTGGGATTACAGGCGTGAGCCAGCGCGCCCGGCCATGTGTACTTTTATACTAGATAGTTGTGAATACCAGGCTTTAAAGAAATATTATCATGTGGCATTCATTGACAAAATTTAAACCATTCAATATAATCCAAGGAAAGCGTGAAACCCACTCCATATGTATTCCGGGGGTATCCACTGTAAATGATTTACTGCTTATTTTTCCAGATACTTCTTTACACTTATATGAGTTTACACATGAACACATATTTACATATGCCTATAAGTAAACAGCAGACAAAATGGGATCACACTCAACACACGCTTCTGTAGTTTGCTTTGTTCTTTAACATTATTCAAGGAACAGCCTTCAATGTCAGGACATCTACATCTACCTCGTCTACATTCACGGCTGTGTGCTGCTCCCCTGCACACATCAGGAGGTGTTGAAGTTGTTCTCTATTTTGGGGCACTTCGGTTTTTACCAGCGTTTGGGTGTGACAGTGCTGTACCCTTGGGACTGGTGTTGATGCCTGGTTCTTGGGGTAGCTGAGAGGGAGGACTAGATGCTGGACACAGGTGATCTTGCGGGAAGTTCAGCGTTTGGCCGTTTTCAGTATCGCATGTCATCGGGCAGGTAGCATGATTCTCAAACCAGGCCCCCAACTTCCCTTCATTCCAGGCGCTGAAATCCGGAATGAAAAACCAGCATTCCTGCAAAGATCTCGTTGGTGCTGAAGAGCAGACCTAGAACAGCATGTACCCAAAGGGATGGGGTGACTGCAGGTTTGCAGGAACCTCACTGGAGCCGGCTGAGGGAGCTCACCCAGGGTCATGATGGAAACATCAGGAGTTGAAGCACAGAGCCTGGTGTAACCTAAAGTTGCTGTTGTAGTCACTTTTATTGCTCCTATTAAAACGTTCATGGAATCGTTGAGTTTTAAACTGAAAGGCATTCAACAGTCACCTAGTCTGTAGTCTATCACCTCCTCGTACAGAAGAGGACCCTGAGACTGAGGAAGAGGAGATGACTTGGCCTGTGGCTGGGGCCTCAGGAACTCCGGCTTGGGGCTCTTTTGGCCACACTACACATCTCTTCCTTTATTTTTTAGAAATCAATTAAAATTCACCAAACTGTAAATCTCATCCATTAGTTATTCCTTTTTTTTTTTTTGAGACAGGCCTCACTCTGTCACTCAGGCTGGAGTGCAGTGGTGCAATCTCAGCTTACTGCAACCTCTGCCTCCTGGGCTTAAGCGATCCTCCCATCTCAGCCTCCAAGGCAGCTAGGGCCACAGAAGTGCACCACCACACCCGGCTAAGTTTTGTATTTGTATTTGTGTTTTATTTATTTATTTATTTACAGACAGAGTCTCACCCCATTGCCAAGACTGGAGTGCAGTGGTGCAATTTCAGCTCACTGCAACCTCCGCCTCCCGGGTTCAAGTGATTCTCCTGCCTCAATTTCCCGAGTAGCTGAGATTACAGCGCACCCCACCATACCTGGATAATTTTTTGTATTTTTAGTAGAGATGGGGTTTTGCCAAGTTGGCCAGGGTCGAACTCCTGGCCTCAAGTGATCCACCCGCCTTGGCTTCCCAAAGTGCTGGGATTAGAAGTGTAAGCCACTGCGCCTGGTCTGATTTTTGTATTTATGGTAGAGACAGGGTTTAGCCATGTTAGCCAGGCTACCTTTTTGATGTGAATTCAGGCTTAGATCCCAAGGAGCCATTGCTTTGGGCAAACGTGCCCTGGGAGACTTCCCTCTGGGCTTCCAG